TGTATCTGTGATACACTCGCTCCAGTGACAATTACTGCGTGCATTGTTTATGCCTGCCTGTAGAGTTGTTTCAACCTTTGTCCTTCGTCATGAACCTATTGATGCCAAGCTGCGTGATGATGTGTTTGCGCATCTTGCCCGTTTCTTACAAAAATCGCAGTACTATCTCAGAATTGGTCCAGGACTAGACCGTAGAGTCGTAAACTTTGTGTAAATGAATTCTATGCCCTGGAACCGACAGTTGTTCACCCCACGGGTTTAGGGCCAGTTTACCGTTTTTGGATGTTTCAGGGGGTTCAGGGTCCATGTTGTTTGAAAGTATAGGTTGATTGAGAAGCACTTCGACCGCCGAAATCCAAGGTGCCAAGCTGCATCCCCCCCAAGTGAAACCCAAACCCCATACCCTAAACCCTACGCCGCACACCCTAAACCTCTAGAACTGCCCAACTGACGGTCTGCAATCCTACCATAAATCTCGACGGCTTAGGGTTTGGATGCAGAAGGTTTAAGGTTTAAACCTCAATCCTCAGAGCCTTGAACCCTGTTTCCAGCAGCTGCATACATGACGATAAACGCACAATTGCAGGAATGCGCTCCATTATGGGTCTGTATAGTTTTCTGTGATGTCTCCCCAATTTGGCTCGGTATTGATGCTACCCAAGCTGCAGCAAAAATCAGCCTTTAACAGTTTCCAACACTTTTCGAGTTTACTGTAGGTGGGCTCCAACCTTCTGCTGTTCAAACGTGCAAAGCTCTTCCTTCCCGGAATCCGAGGACAAAATCCGGATCCGTTCCGTTCTGGTGCTTTGGCAGCCAATTCGGAGGGTTTTGGGGGTGTAGAGTCGGAGGTTGAGGGTTGCAGCGCCAATGAAGTGTTTGAGTGTATGTCAGTGTATGTACATAGGTTTGTTTGTTTGTTTGTATGGATGGATGGATGTGTGGATGTCTGTGTGTATGTATGCATGAAGGCACACCGGTCTCTAGGTGCGTATTTATGATTTGCTGTAGCTTACTGGCCGTGGGTCGGAGGGGAAACAGCCCGATGAAAAAGCAAAACCGAAATCCGCAAATAGCGCTCTGGGCATTCAGGCTGAGGTTTAGGGTTTAGGGTTTAGAGTCTCGCAAGATAAGTCGAGGGTTTGAGGGGGGCTGATTGAAAAGTGGTCTAGACGTCTAGAAGGCTTATAGTGCTGTGGAGCATTGGGCCAGGGGGCTTGCGTGTTTTGCAGGTTTGAGGTACTGCGAAGACACTTTGGAAAATTCAGCCCCGAATGCTGAGGCACCACCTTAGCCGTGAAGAACGACTGCCCGGGCCCAGTCATGGGTGGCTGGGGTCTTCAGAGCACGGGAACTCCACACCCTAAACATTGAACACCCTAAATCCGAAGCCTTCATCCAAGACGGCAACCTTGTCGCAACCCCAAATCGAGTTCTCACAGTTGTGACCCCCTAAACCCCAAACCCTAAACCCTAAACCCTAACTCTGATGTAACGGATTAAATGAAGACCAGTGCTTTGCCATTCCTGACACCTCCTTGCTAGCATTCTGGTTGCATTGGGTGAGATCCCCTAAGTTTCTGAAGATAGCAGAAGGGGTGGTTATCCAAGCTTTCTTCGAGCTGGCCGTGGGGTTTCCCCCAAAAAAACCCTGCCGGGTTTGGGGTGACCAGAAGGAGTTCAGGACGGGTCATCCTTTCATTCAGGGCTCTATAGGAGCTCCATAAGGGTTTAGGGTTCAGATTCGAGGGCTGGCGGGCTCAGACCCTAAACCTTAAACCCTTAAACCCCTAGGCCCAACCCCCCTAAGCCCTAAACCCTAAACACCAAGTTCCCTAAACCATAAATTGCCTAAACCCCTAGACCCTAACCCCCTGAGCCTTAAACCCGCGGGCTTAGACCCTAAACCATAAACCTTAAACCCCTAAACCCCTAGACCCAAACGCCCTAAGCCCTACCTGTACCCAAAAAGACCTACCTTTTAGGGTTCCTTATTATAGTTTCTGTATATAGTTCTTTAAAAAGGTAGGTCGTTTAGGCCACAGGTAAACCCTAAACACCAAGTTCCCCCTAAACCCTGAACCCTAAACCCTAAACCCTCAAACCCTAAACCCTAAAAGCCCTGATCCCCACAGGGTTCCCATTTCAGGTGAGAACCTCGACCTGACTGGAGAGACGTGGTACAACTGCAACACCTACTATGCCGGAGCCCTGGGTGCCTTTGGGTTCTTAGGGCCTTCGGGCTTTTTGCGTCAGGGCTTGAAGGGTTTAGGGTTTAAGGGTTTAGGGTATAGGGTTTAAGGGTTTAGGTTTAGGGGGTTTGGGGCCATATTGGGTTATAAGCTACAGGGCTATCCTTGCAGGTCTAGAATGCAGTGATGCTTTTGGGGGTGTTTCCTGGCCGAAACCCCAAATCCGAAGATAAGGCCTAGACCGAACGGCTCAGCATCAATCGCCTTGCACGGCCTCGCCAGTACAATCCCCTCAACCACTCAGTCGCAACGTCTTGCCCTGCTTAATCAACGCTCCTACAACAGGGATCCGAATAGAAGGCCCTCAGACAAATAATGGGCTTTATGAATCAGGGGTCTACATTGGTCACCGCAATGCGAGAACGAGGCACCGGTGGAGCTCAGAACAGAGATGAGTTTGGGTTTGGTTTAGGGTAGAGGGTTGCGATCGAGATGCTCAGCAATGTTGGCAACGACGAAGTTGAGACACAGCGCCGGGCTTCCTCCGATGTTGTTGCTTTAGTTTTTTGGAACTGTGGGCTAAAGTCATCTCGAAGTTCTCCCTCTCTTTCTCTATATCTATCTATCTATCTATCTATCTATCTTTTTCTGTACACGTAAAAACTATGCGTTTGTTTATTTTTTCATGTCTGTCTTAGCTGCCATGCAATTTGTATTTTGTTGCCGAAGAGCTCAAGAGCTTGCAGATACGTCGCAAGCCTTTGCTAGCACAGCTCCTGAAATTTTGACCCGGTATCAACTTACGAAGCCACCAAACCCGACCCAAGGGTTTGGGTTTATGGAGGGAAGGAGGGAGGAAGGGAAGGGGTTTAGGGTTTAGGGTTTACGGTTTAGGGTTTAGGGTTTAGGGGCTTAGGGTTTAGGGTTTATAGGCAAGGGAAGGGAGGGGAGGGAAGGGAGGGAGGGGAGGGAGGGAAGCTCAACACTCCCAGTTCTCTTCCAGAGCCTCATGGCCGCCCTAGCCCTTAACTTTTCGGGTTTAAGGTTTGGGGCGTAGGGCTTTGGGCTTAGAGTTTCTATAACCCACCGTCCCTTCCCTTAGCCGCACAACCCCCAAAGTTAAAACTAAAAGCCCTACGCCCTAAATCGTAAGGTTAAAGATCCCCAACCCTAAACCCTAAACCCTAAAACCCTAAACCCTAAACCAAGCCTTCGATCCTACAGTCTTAAAGTTGAAGTTGCAGTCCCTGTGCCCGGAGCTATAAATCCTTAGCCCCTAAACCCAAAGCCCTTAGGCCCTAAAGCCTAAAGCCAAACCTGAGCTAGAAATCCTTAACCCCGAAACCCAAAGCCCTAAAGGCCCTAAAGCTAAGCCTCAGTTTTTCGTGGTTTTCGCAGCGGACCCCTCCACTCAGGTAGTGACGGAGCGTGCCTCGGCCCAACTTCCTGTTTAAGGAGCAGCATGGGGCCTAGCAAGTACGAGTTAGGGTTAACCTATGGGTCCTGACAGGTTTTGGGGCTTGGGGACTAGGCAAGAGTTTGCTCATATCCTACTTGGCTGAGGTCTTTGGAGGAGGTCGCTTAAGGAGTTCTTAGGGTTCACGGGATTCGGACGTGGGACTCGTTCAGGGCGTTCTTTATCCTCGGGTTTCACGAACCTTGGGTTTCAGGGGTGTTGAGCTTTAGCCCTTAGGCTTTGCTTACGAAACCTGACCCGGCACCACGGAACCTGAACCTTACATGTTTAGGCCTTCCGGTCTAGGGCTTACCACCCCCCAAATGCCAAATCCCGACCCTGAACCATGGCTACACCTAGAGGAAATCGGTGATGAAACACTGTGTAAGGCCGATGTTCCCGACACCACCTGGTAGTACCATGTTCCCGGAACCCATGCCGCAAAATCCTGGTCGACACGCAGACACCCATAGACCGCTCTGCTGGCACCGAAAGGAAGTGCGAACTTTTGCCTTACGCACCTTAAAAGCTCAAAACCCTCGCCGCAGACCCTGATTCTCTCAAAAGCCATTTAAGAGATTGTACAGAGAGCTATGACAGTTATGCCGAACACGTGCGGATGCAAAGGACATCTTTGTCAACAGCAGGCACCTAAACCCTATTAGTTTTTCCTAAACCCTGTCACGACTTTCAACAAAACTTAGTTTTAAACTTTCGGGGTTCTTATGATTTAGTAGTAATCTGACAGGTTAACCTTTGAATTTCCTGGCTTATTGGGAAGTAAGAAAATCTAACAAAATAACCCTAAACCCTATGCCCTAAACCCTAGACCCTAAGCCCTCAACCCTAAACCCCTAAACCCTAAACCCAAAGCCCTAAACCCCTAAACCCTAAACCCTATGGTCATCACCCGCTGAGTCCCAATTTCCAACATCGCACCGCGGCGGTCTTGCTTCTGGGCCCGGACCCTGGCAAAGGATGTTCCCAGAACGAATGCTTGTCTTCTGTTTAGGAGGTCCCTTTTAAAGGCTGCTCAGCAGTTGTTTTCTGTAAGGGTTACTTGATACAAAAGGGTCGCAATATTCCGAAGAACGTTCTTTTCAAGGATGCAGAGTTTTGGAGTCTCTGGGGCTGTCGGGTTTACGGGTTCTGCACGAAGGCTGAGGATTTGCAGGGATGAGGGTGCAGGGCAATGGGCTGCAAAACTTCGCTTCAAGAAGGCGGCTTTGGAGGTGTCCTTGTTGTTGCTTTCAGGAGAGTTGAAGTGGAGGGATTAGGGTTTAGGGTTGCCAAAACCCCAGAAAGACTCCAAGACATGCTTTCTAGCTTTCATCTTGTTTTCTTCTGCCGGTCAGGACGAGAACAAGAGGCGGCAGGGTGGCGCCAAGGGCGTTTGCACGTGCCTCTTTCGCAACAGGGATCCTGCTTAGCCTGTGGGAATTCCGAACTTGATTTAGAATCGTAATCACTGAGGCTTGTTGAAACCGCTTATAGCTTATTATAGCATTGGAAGCTGAAAGTAACATTTAAAGGACCAGGCATGCTATGCAGTGGAAAGCTTTGACAGCACCAACATCAGGACAACAAGCAAAGCTGAACCTAAGCACTAAGGTTGCATACACTTCTGCATATGCATTGCATGCACATGTATGAATCACTGTATGAGTGTACTGACAACAATCTTACATGTAGTTAGCATGTGAGATTCGTAGTGAGAACTGTGGGAACAACAGGTCTGACACGTTTGCAGTAGCGCCTGGTGTTGCAATTGCCATGGTAGTGCTCGACATCGTTGTCGTCGTTGCTGTGGTCGTCGTAGTAAGAAGAAGCCGGAGGGGACAATCAGAGAAGGAACAGGAGGAGACTGTGTGGGACTCGGTGTAGTGCTTACAAGCAGCAGCGGAAGCAGCAGCAACAACAACCGCAAAGGTGTCCTAACCGAAGATACGACTTTCTTACACATAAACATGGTTGGGATCACTAGTCGCTAGTGAGAGCTTAAGAGGTTTTACGCTGAGCAGCTGAAGGGGCTGCTGAGTGGTCTCACTTTGGACCTGCTCTTCGCAACTGAGAGAGAGAGAGAGAGAGAGAGAGAGAGAGAGAGAGAGAGTTGGTAGCGAGAGTTGCAGTTACGAAAGACAGGATCTTCTGGCATTCGTACTGGTTTTTGCCGCCAGCAAGAAGTAAGAAGTACTGTGGGTTCGAGTCTTTTACTGAATTTGCTCAGGAACCCCTAAACCCTAAACCCTTAAACCGTTAACCC